AATTTCGGCTTCCTGACGATGCCCAGATGGAATCCATGCACATCCAAAGCATTGTTTCAATCCTGCTTGAGACTTGGTAGAAATTGTGCAGGGATTTTTACAGTGCCGCACAAACGGCGTAGCTATAGCGAGCAATTATGACGCTTCCCCCACGACTACGGGAATTGAATTTTTAAATGTATGCTACCCGACAAATATTTACAATTTTTGAGGCGTGTCACAACCTAGTAGTTAAGTCCCTGTTTCGATCAAGGTTCGTTGATAAGACTACGGCACTTTTCTGTTGATTGAGTTAAAGGTCGTTAAGAATAGTCTGTGACACAGTGCAATTAAAGTACAAGTTGAGTTTCAGAAAACGTTAACCCCAAAGTGACGAGTTGGTTACATTTTTTTAAAAATTCGGAGTTAGGAATGCATTAACAACTACTCTTATCTCAGTCCGAAATCAGCAATATACACTGTATCTATCTTAAAATAATACCTAGGTGTTCAAATACGGCACCGGGAATAGTGCCGAGGACAACCAATGAGGATAAGGTACATTTTCAAGAACGATTTCTACTGTTTGACGAAAGTTAGGTGTTTGGCGTGTTCAGCCTCGGCTACTGCCTTCAGACGATAGAGCGCCCTCTGCACCACAGTCGTAAGGCGAGAATAAAGTGCACCTCCGGTGTCGTTGGTTCTTCGGAGAATACCACCCACTTCGAATGGCGTACCAACGCTCACTGTTACACAACGAGGTGGACCAAACAGACGATTGAGTGCATTGCGCGCATAAGGTGGCTCGCAAGGATTCAGATCATCGAAACCACAATGCCATATTGGGAGAACCGTGGGATTCTGTAGATAAAGGAACATAAACAATACAACACCGCATTCGAGTCAACTATTCAGAGTCGAACAGTAGTAAATGCATGCTTGGTTGCATAAATTACAACCATATTTTCCTCAGGGAAGCCGACACATTTGCGAAAAAAACTAAACTCTGCTTACTCGCACGCACTTGAGCCAGCTTAATGGATAACAGCGCCATCGCAAAAATCACCCTTAAAGTAAACAACGATAAGACGTGTTGTTCCATCCCTCCGTGCACCATATTGCACCTCGATTCGCGCGTTGTGCTCTAGTTTACGAATCAAGTGTGATCCACGGCTATCAAGTCGTCATACTCTTAAGAGGATGGCTGTGGCGCAAATGATTTGGCATTGTTGTGGCAGTAAAGGGTCTGTGTCAACCAGTTACTGCGTCAAGGCGACAAGTCACAGCACTTGCAGCTTCTCAGGGAATCCTGTAAATAAGTCAACCACGACCGCTGTGCTCCCACATAATGCCTCTGAAACCTTTCAAACATACGAAATCACCATGGATTTGCATCTGGGATTGTCACTGCGATTAAGCGACTGATGTCGTGCACGAACCACTTTATCCTGACACAATCAAAGCCCTTGTAAGGGGATCGAATGAAGTGCAAATATCGCACATTCGTTGTTACTGGTGATATCAATGATAGAGATGCGACATTTGATGTACAAGCTTTCCAAGCCATTTAACTTCACCACAATTCTAGGGCCATTACAAACGGCTTTCACAGCAGGTTACAAATTCGAGTGGGGAGAAGAGCAACATGGCAGGACTGGCTCCATCAACAGTCCACAACCATTATTGCCCATGAGTATAGGTGGTTTCGAATAAAGCATGTGGTTGAAGTCTTTTGCATTGGTACAGCATCCCTTGACACAGCAGTCTGCACGCTTGGCCATTGACAACACCACCAATAAACGCAGTATTGGTAATTAATACCACGCGGACAGTTCTGTAAGGCAGTATGGAGGTGCACAATAGCTAGACCCTATTTATTTTGGTCTAAACAGCAGCACAATCATTCTGAGCAAAGTAAAGCAAAAACCTAGTAAGATCTGTGTGACTGCAATAAACACCAAGGTCCGATTCTAAAGCCTACCCACAAACGTATCAAAACATAAATTCAACCACGCATCCAGCCATATGTTCGACCACCTTCCACTGACTACAATACCCGCGTTTCAAGTTACTTGACTGTTTCAAATAGTGAATATTCGCGGCGTAAGAAAGTTGTGGTACCTGCATTGAACCAATTGTTTTGCAAAATATATGGCCATTCTCTACAGTCATTTCTTCTTGTTAAGGGTGCTGCCGCTGTATCTCAGGAGTAAGGAAAACGATCATTCGACTATTTATTCGTATCTACTTATATGTCTGCTGCGCTAGTGCTTTCAATGTCGTCACTGTTGTTGACGTATTTCGAAAAATGGTCCTCACAATAGACCACAAGCTCCATTAGATCACAAACAGACCTCTCCATTTGCACTAGGCACGGACAAGTTATCTTTGGCTAAGGCATATTGGGCTGCCTCGAAGAAGGTAACGAGCTCCTTGAGCTTTTTGGAATTCTACAGCCCCTCTAACTGCAGTGCTAATGGTCGGACTGGTTTCTGCGTCCGCATTTTGCCAACAACAGGAAATGAGAATTTGATGTCATATTGGACTGGCGCCAACCGTATTCGTTCAATCGGATCGAATTCTTCTACAATGATTAGGTACTTTGTTATATCTGTCGTCAAGGTCGAGCAAGCCGCGCCTTTTTGATTAAGCTCGGTGTCTTCGTTTGTTTTGATTTATTTGCGTATTCACCAAGTCGACTGTTTTTGTTAATGTTTACCAGAAGCAGCAACGTAACCTGTTACTGCTTTCCACCTGAAAAGTGCAATTCGACGAAGGTTTCATGCATAATCTAAATAAGATTTTCGGTGAGAATTTAGAACTTGTAATTAGAATACAATGCCAAACAATCAAATGGAATAATTCAATAAAACTAACCACGGAAGCCTCGGCCAGAAGTCGTCCGATACCCCAACGCAGTCTAACTTTCGACTCTTGTGCTCGCTCATGAGGCAAAATTATGCGACCCTAAAAACATAAGGAGATTTTAAATAGTACACAAAAAATAGGTCTCAACCTCGGCTGCTGCAGTTCGAAAGCCAATCCTAAAAGCTCTCATGGAAAATTGCATCGAGTGTATTTGTTGGACAAATGACCGAAGAAATGACTAGGTAAGATTCCTACTTCTTCCTAGAAACCGAAATTCAAAGTAAATGAGCAGCAAGGGCGTCAATCAAAATTATCATAATATGGCTAGATGGGCTCTGACTTACTAAGATAACGTCAAGCTAGGTCAAAATTGGTACAGGAGACCTCCGAAAAGACACTAAGGTCACTAAGATGAAAATGGGCCGACTCGAAATTCAAGAGATAAATTCCCGCGGAAATATTTACAAATTAAATACAAATTAAACGACGAATTATTAATAGAGTAACACAAGTCGAGGCAATTATTACAACGATCGATGCAACAATGGGAACAGGTAAATTCAGATTAAATGGTCAAAAACTGACAAAAGGGCACAATTACATACACGACGCACCTGTGAAAACACGTGAACCCAACGACCAGCGTTTAGTAGCTCGAGGCAAAAGTCCATGCTATTTTGAAACACACCCAAACCAGGCAAGATAACTTCTCCTGTAACTGGATCACGAACACGCCGCCATACCGGGACTCCCTTCCCGGAAGTAAAAAATAGACAACTAATCTTATTCAGAAAACAAATGTCAACTGCGGCTAAAGTCCACTTTAATTTGTCAACTTAAATTTTACAATACCGACGAACAAACAAACCATCAAGAAGATATTTATAGGGAAGCGCCATGCCAAACAAAAGCAAATCATCAAGACAAGAATGATGATTCGATACGGTTATGAGAGGCTTGTAAGCGGGTTTATTTTCGATTATATCCAAGAGAACGTCCTTGTTAAGTATTTTAAAACGATGCCTCATAAATGTTAACTTGACCAAGGATGACACTGCTGCCAAGGAAATTTGGTGAAATATCCGTTGACCTGATGAACGGTTATAAGCATTACGATACAATCGATAAGCAAGATCGTATGGTACACAAGACAGCCCGGACATGGCACTGTGATGTGGAGTGGTGTGGTGTGGCTGTGGCGTCGGATTAGGGCGCAGACATGTTGGACCACCTGGCCGCAGCCAATCCCGTGTCTCTCTGCGTTCCAATGGCATGCGAGGAAGGTAAGTAGCCAACCAGAGAAGGACACGACTGAGGTGCAGTATATAATGAGCAACGTGGCCAGCGTCGTGGACTCGGATGGAAGGCGCCTGACGCGTGGCTCTGGCTTCTGATTGGTCAATAAAGCCTGTTCTATTGTACCAGTCTTTTACCTATTAGGACTCGGGTATTCTACATTGGTGGCAGCGGATGCGTTCGAATAACGCGAATCGAACCCCAGCCCTTTCTCTTCAGTGGTCAACACAGGCAAAGACCCTTAAATGCCAGCTGAAAATGTCATGGCGTTCATCCGATGTCCAATAAAG